TGATCTTCTTTTGGATGAGAGTCTTTCAGCAGAGGATCTTGAGCTCCTCCCTAGTTTTGATTGTCTTATGATAGGTGGAGAGGAGGACTCAAGTGATGCTAGTGATGTGAAGGGGAAGGAAGAAGATTTAGATGATGTGGAGAAGGAAAATTTTCAAACTGATTCTTCCATTATAACACCCTCTCCATTAAATCTAAAACCTCTTCCCTCCCACCTTGAGTATGCTTTTCTTGATGATAGTCCTGACCTCCCTGTTATTCTTGCATCTGGGCTTGAGCCATCCCAAAAATCTACATGTCTTGATTTACTTAGTGAACAAAGGGAAGCTCTAGCCCGGAAACTTTCTGACATGAAAGGAATCAGCCCTGCTTTCTGCACTCATAAAATTTTGATGGAAGATAATGCTAAACCGGTAGTGCAACCACAAAGAAGACTGAATCCTAACATGCATGAGGTGGTTAGTGAGGAAGTCATTCGTCTGTTAGATGTAGGCATTATTTATCCGATTTCAGACAGCCCTTGGGTCAGCCCGACCCAGGTGGTTCCCAAGAAAGGGGGATGACTGTGGTTAAAAATGAGAAAGATGAGATGATTCCGACGCGTACGGTCACCGGATGGCGGGTCTGCATTGATTACCGAAAATTAAATGCCGCCACCCGGAAGGACCACTTCCCCCTCCCCTTCATTGATCAGATTTTAGAGAGGTTAGCAGGGCATAAGTTCTACTGTTTCCTTGACGGGATGTCGGGATACTTCCAGATCCCCATAGCCCCAGAGGACCAGGATAAGACCACATTCACATGTCCATTCGGTACCTTCGCATATCGAAGGATGGCGTTTGGATTATGTAATGCCCCTGCTACCTTTATGAGATGTATGCTTGCTATTTTTGGGGATTTTATTGGGAAGTTTATGGAGGTTTTCATGGATGACTTTTCTGTGTATGGTGACACTTTTGATGAGTGCTTAGAGAATTTGAAGAAAGTCTTGGTTAGGTGTCGAGAGGTGAATTTGGTGCTTAACTGGGAGAAGTGCCACTTCATGGTTAGTGAGGGAGTTGTCCTAGGGCATAAGATATCGAGTAGGGGAATTGAGGTTGATCCGGCTAAGGTTGATGTTATTTCTAAATTACCTCCCCCTACCTCAGTCCGTGCCATTAGGAGTTTTCTAGGACACGTAGGTTTCTACCGTAGGTTCATCCAGGACTTTTCTAAGATAGCCCGACCCATGACTAAGCTCCTTGAGAAGGACACACCGTTTGACTTCTCAAAAGAGTGTTTAGAGGCTTTTGAGTGTTTGAAGGAGAAACTGGTCAAGGCACCGGTGGTAGTAGCTCCTGACTCGTCTTTGCCCTTTGAGATTATGTGTGATGCTAGTGATTTTGCAGTAGGAGCCGTTCTTGGGCAGCGTCGAGAGAAACACTTTCAGCCTATTTCTTATGCTTCTAAGACTCTCGATAGTGCCCAGGAAAATTACACTACCACCGAGAAGGAATTGCTTGTTGTTGAGTTTGCTCTTGACAAGTTTCGTCCTTATTTGATTTTGTCTAAGGTAGTGATATTCACCAATCATTCTGCTCTTAAATATTTGATGCAAAAAGTGGATGCTAAGCCTAGATTGATTCGGTGGATATTACTACTCCAGGAGTTTGATATTGAGATAAGGGATAAGAAAGGGGCTGAGAATTTAGCAGCTGATCACTTGAGTAGGTTAGAGAACCCCTTTCTTGATTCCTTGAGTGAGAGAGATATTGAGGGTACTTTTCCTGATGAGAGACTCTTGCGTATCGTTGATGAGGTGCCCTGGTGTTTAGACATCACCAACTATCTGGTTGGGGGTGTTGTTCCTTCTGATTATACACCTCATCAACGAAGGAAATTTTTTGCTGATCTGAAATATTATTTCTGGGAGGAACCATATCTTTTTCGTATTTGTGCTGACCAGGTTGTTAGAAGATGTGTACCCCTTTGTGAAGGAGCTGAAATTCTCAAACATTGTCACTCAGGACCAACCGGGGGACACTACTCTTTCAACCGGACAGCCCGTAAGGTCTTGGAATGTGGTTTCTTCTGGCCCACTTTGTTTAAAGATCCTCTAATGTTTGTGCAGGAATGTGACAGGTGTCAACGCACCGGGGCGGTTACCAAGAGGGATGAGATGCCCCAGAATTTTATATTGGCTTGTGAGGTATTTGATGTTTGGGGCATTGACTTCATGGGACCGTTTCCGGGTTCTAAGGGTAATAAATTCAGTCTCGTTGCTGTGGATTATGTTTCTAAGTGGGTTGAGGCCGAAGCTCTGCCCACGAATGACGCTAGAGTTGTAATTCGTTTTCTGAAGAAATTGTTTTCTAGATTTGGAGTGCCACGAGTTTTGATAAGTGATAGGGGCACCCACTTTAGGAATGATCCCATGACACGCCTTCTGGCAAAGTACGGGGTCACTCATAAAAGGGGGCGTCCCATATCACCCTTAAACTAGTGGCCAAGTTGAGAATTCGAATAGAGACATTAAGACCATCCTTGAGAAGATCATTGAGACCCATAGGAAGGATTGGTCCGATAAGTTAGATGATGCGCTGTGGGCATTGCGTACAGCGTATAAGACACCCATTGGCACTACTCCGTTTCACCTGGTTTATGGGAAGGCGCGCCACCTTCCGGTAGAGATTGAACATAAGGCCTACTGGGCCTTGAAAACGCTGAATAAAGATCTTTCATTGGCGGGTCGTGAGCGGCTTTGGAAGCTCAACGAATTGGATGAGTGGAGGCTCACGGCCTACGAAAATTCTAAGATTAGTAAGGAGCGTACCAAAGCCTAGCATGATCGGCATATCAAACAGGGAAAAGAGTTTAGTAAAGGAGATCAAGTTCTGTTTTTCAATCCCCGAATGAAATTTTTTAAAGGAAAGTTGAAGTCTAGATGGTCCGGTCCTTTCATAGTAAGCGAAGTTTTTCCATACGGTACAGTTGAGATAGACCATCCAGAGAAAGGCCATTTTAAAGTGAACGGGCACCACCTGAAGAAGTACTACGGAGGACCGCTAGACCGCGAACGTGAGGTGACCTTTGTCACGAATTTTGAGAGATGAGTGCGTGGTTGCGTCGGGCAAACGACGTTAAAAATAGCGCTTCTCGGGAGGCAACTTGAGCTTACTTCTGCATTTGTTGTTGTTTTGTTTGTTTTGTATGTTTTGTGTGTTTTGTTTTTGCAGCTCAGGATCTTGTTGTAGAGATGATGTGCCGAGGATCACTTTACTCAGTTTAGTTATGCACCGACCAGCGCCTTTGGGAAGTTCCTAAGACTCTTACTCGCCTGTTTTAGTAAAATGACTTGAGATGATTTTGAGCACGCGTGACCCTTTCCTCTTTACCCCTTTGTGCATAGTGCATTTTTGGTCATCGAGGGCGATGCCAAAGTTTAAGTGTGGTGGGGGGGGTGAATTGGGCAGTCGGGCAGTAGTTGTTACATGTGATTATTAGAGTTAGCATGCGCAGGTGTTAGTTGTATATTCATAGGAAATTCATGTCAAATTTTTGAAAATTTGTCTTTAAACTGTGTCTTTGTGAGCTGCTTAGCGTTTTGACTATGCTTTTAAAATGTCCTTGAAGTGTTTAGGCTTAAATTGCTTGCACTATAATCTAGTTGTTGAAAGGATGAAGGCATTAGTCACCCATTGAATGAATTCATAAATTTTCCATCCCACCTGAAAAAGTCCTTTAGGAGAAGCCATTTTGAGCCTAACTATTCCTTGTCTACCCAATTAATTGAGCTCCATAGCCAAATGACCTGTTTTCTTACCCGTGAATATTTCTGACGTAGTCTTCATGTTTAGGGAACTAGGGGATGAATTTGCTAGGTTTATGGAATTTTGTGTAGGAGCCAATTTTGGCACTGTTCCTATGCCCCAAATGGGGTAAGAGCATTCACTTTTTAGGATCTTGATATTTCGAGGATTGCATTGTAGGCGTGGATTCACTTCTAAAACAAATGAACTTTAACTGCTATTTTTCCTTGGTGAGGCCGAGATTAGAATGGGGTAATGTCTAAGTAAGAATCCGAAAGGTGAAAAAATTAATATAGCTAGACCTCTTACCTTGCGAAAAAGAGAATGGGAGCCCGGGTCAAAAAGCGTAAGTGTTTTACACAATAAGATGAGACTTGGGTATCTTTCGAAAGAAATGGCGTTCTCGTGCCAACATGACAAGGAAAACTAAACATAATTAATAAACTTGGAGGCTATTGAAAATTAGCTTTAGTTCTCCGCGTACTTCAAGTATACGTCAAAGCACCAACGTGCCGCGGCGGTTTAGCTTAGTTGTACACCATGTCTACTCTTTGCATAGGTTTAGATGATTGTTCCTAAATTGTGGCCTACTGAGTTCCTTGATCCTAAGAATAGTCCTGGAATTCCTGAATGCATTACGTCTTTGTTAGAATATTTTCCAATCTCTCAAAAGAAAGGGACTATTTATTACCATCCACCATTCACCATCACCTTCACAAGTCCTTCTGATCAATAGCTAGTTTATTTGTGTATGTTGTCATTACTTTAAGGATGTTGTGAATAATTTTGTCAAATAGTTAGCTTGAGTACAAAGATGTAGTTTAGGGAAGAATTTTCTAGGTTTATATTGTCTGTTCTGTGAATATTCCTTTAGCTACGTGTAGACCTGCACAAACACGGGCTCGGGCCGGGCTCGGGCCGGGCTTATTCTAAAAAATCTGCCCACTTGTAGTGGGCGGGCCCGGCCCGGCCCGGTAAAACGGGCCTCCTCATATGTCCAAGCCCGCCCATGAGAGCGGGCCGGGCTGCCCACCGGGCTTTTGGGCCCGGAAAATATCCTTTTGTCAACTTTGTTAAAAAAATGAAAATATTTATAAAATAACATCACAACATTTTAAATGCAATTAAATAATTAATGTACTCACAACACATTTTGAACACAAGAATACGTTTAAATGCGAAACACAAAACGATTCTGGAAAATAAAAAGCATCCAAATTCCAAATAAGCATCCATATTCCATAATTAAAAGCACAATCACAGATTCACAATGTGCAGCGGAAATAGTCAAGAGTATCTCCAAAAAGATTTAACAAATGTATATCATTACAGTTCAAATTTAAATAGTAGAACACAAAAAGTAATTGGTATCCCAAGATTCCAAGAACTTCTCGACATTCCTTCATTTCACCAGAAAGTAATTGATCTCCCAGACTGCTCTGCCAAATGCCAATAAATATCAAATAATGAAAACCAAATATTATTTATAAACAAAGTAAAAACATTGAGATAATGAAAATAATGGAAAATAATGACACTTGTGAATAATGACATGGTAATGAAATTATACTTCCAAGTATTTTAAGTTTTATATGTATAGTCATATAATGTATAATTATATATAGAATAATATATATAATATAATATGTTTACGGGCCGGGCTTTTAGGCCCGACCGGGCCTATATTACAACCCAAGCCCGCCCATATTTTAAACGGGCCGGGCCGAGCCCGGCCCGGTGGGCTAAAGCATGTGTCCAAACCCGCCCATTTATATGGGCGGGCCTGGCGGGCCGGGCGGGCCGGCCCGGAATTGTGCAGGTCTAGCTACGTGTGCCTGCTAACTGTTTTGATTCTGTGTGGTGATTATCGTAAGTCCCGTTGTTCTGTTTGCTTGAGGACAAGCAAAAGCTTAAGTGTGGGGGAATTCTGATAAGTACATATTACAACACGCATTTGATGCGTGTTGGGGTTGCATTTTGATAGTTTTCCTATCTTTAAGGTGTTGCAAGTCTCAATTTTAACTCAAGTTATGTTTACCGGGCGTTGGTTCGAGTTTTGTGTCATTTGGAGTCAAAATCAGGATTTTAGACACCAACACCGGCGCTTGAGAAGCAATCGGGACGAGTTGAGAAACATTAGAGATTGATTTGAGAGCTTTGGAGTTCACCGGGAGGTTTACGATGAAGAGTTGAAGATAAAAGAGCTATAGGATTGGCTACGGGATCAAAAGAAGACAAATAGAGCTTGAAAATGACGATCAGGATGACCTTCTGTTAATCATTCAAGCATATCTCCTTGTAGAGACATACACTGTACACGTTTCAAGTTCCATATGAAAGCCAACTTCAAGGGCTACAAATCATGCGAAGACACCTTTCCGAGAATCTGATAGGAAGAATGTGAAAACAGACGACGAAGTCAGATGATCCCTGTTGCGATTTCAGAATGAGACATTCCACCATTTTATTCATATCTGTTGATTGGATGATTCAAATCCAATTCGGAAAATTGGGGTGGATAGAGGACTTCATTATCTACAACTTGCAAGAAGGAAGTAAAGTCAAATTAGGACGTTTTACCCAAGCCGTGCGTGCCCCGTTTTTTTTTTCTAATTTAAGTGCGAATTTCCTTGTTTCCTAATTCAACCCGAATTGCTTTGTTTCCTATAAATAACACCTCTCTAACCCTAATTAAAGGGGGAGCTTAGAGAGAGCCCTAGGGACGAAATTTCTTCTACTTTTCCATCTTGTTCTTCAATTCCCTTGGATTATTTGTAAGTTCCATCTTTTTAATTAATGACAATTAATTCTATTCTTCGAAATTCTATTGATTCTTCAATTATGAGTTGTGAGTAGTTTTAATTAGGGATTTGGGGTTGATGAAGGGGTTAATCATGATGTATGGTTAGATTCTTGATGGTGTAAATTGCATGAATGCCATTTAATTTGTGTTTGAATAATTTAATTGATATCTTTTGTAACCTAGAATGACCACTAGAATTACAATTGCTTATAGAATAAATTAAGAGAGATCTAATTTGTTCTAGGACACATTCACACACACTTAATCGTTCGCTAAGAGATTAGTAGCGATTAAGGGGCCGTAAGCTCATTCGTCTTGGCAATAATTTAGGATCCTGTCGCATGAGAGATCAGCCTGGTCCCCTAAATTATTGTACTCTACGCCGCGAGAGCGGTAAGAACTTAGTATTGATTAGCTAGGCTCAATTAAATTAAATTCATGTAATTAAGCCTGATCTGCCAGAAATCTGATTACCCCGGAATCAATCCCTGTTCCCTTCGTTGTTAATTAAGAAGAACCCAATCATTTACTTTTAATCGTTTATTTGCAATTTTAGTTTTCTCAAGCAACCAAATCTCGCACGACCGCATTTATTTTATTTATTCTTTATCGCTGATTTTTAGTTAATTCTTAATTCCCTTTTACCGTCCCTGTGGAGACGATACTCGTACTTTCACTGCTATATTACAATCTTTTTAAGTGCGAGAAAACTCACATCACGGGCCTTCACCTGTGCCGCTCGTAGCGTAGCGGCCTTGGCCTCATGACGAGATTTCATGGCTTCACGATCCATCTGATCCTGAGTAGGGGGAAGACCTGAAACAAAGAAACAAGAGTCTTAGAACCGAGTGGTGCGAATCTCAAAGGCACTCACCTCAGGGAATGGACCGCCCGGGCCCACAAGATGAACACGAGTGAATGCTAATCCAGGGATCACGGGTGGTACCTATCCCTGCGTCAGAGAGTGCCTGGATGGTCAGGAATTCCTTCAGCCCCTTGACACCGCCCAGCTTCAGCTTATCTATGGCGCCTTGCAATTCTTGAGCCAGCTCCGGTGGCGTTATCTTCGGAGGATACCCGTTCCATCTCACAGGAAGCCGCTCGTCCGAATAGCGAAGGAAGAAGAAACGGTATTTCCAGTCATGAATGGAAGTGGGGGCGCCCTCGAACAACTTCCTTTTGGGACGTGCGGCCACACTCAGAAACCCATCGGCGTTTTGGAGGGCGACTTGAAAGAAATGGTGGAAAAGATCCAAACTAGGGGTGAGTCCTTGCAATTTGCAGCGAACAATAAAGGCGGAGATGAGACGATAAGAGTTCAGCATAAACTGAGCCGGAACGACACTGTAGCAACCGAAAAAATCAAACTAGAACTGATGGAGTGGGAAGCGCAGTCCGGCCTTTACTGAATCCATATGCACCATAACCATTCCCGAACGTCTTTCTGAAGAGATTGTCCGCACCCCGGAGGCTGTAATAGAACGGTGGAGGGAGGAGAGTTTGCAGCTCCTTTAGGGCCCTCCTAAAGAAGACCTGATCGATCACGGTGACGATAGGGATAAGCACGAGGTGCCGATGTTGGTCCATGGGGAAACCGAGCATGAACACCTGAAGGTCGTCCCCTTCTTCGGCCTCTTCACCGGAGTCATAATCGGTAAGGTGCTCCGCCTCCGCATCTGGTTGCGCCGCCGTCGCTGCAGCATTCTCAGGGACGACATCCATACCAATATCCCCCCTACATTCAAAGGGGCGGCCTCATTCGCCGCCACGTGGCCCACCACCATGGGGGCGCTGGAGTTGCCAGAACTACTTGTCCCCTCTGAGGAACGGGACCTAGAGCCCGCCGCAGAGGAAGAACCGACAGAAGAACCCGTGGAAGAACTAGAGCATGTGTCCGATTCGGAGGAGATTTCCATGGAACAGGCTATGGGGAAAGATTGCGAGGGGAAAGAAGATGAGTTAAAATCGAAGAAATTACCTTCGGAACTTGAAAGCAAAGACGAACGTGAGAACCGGGAACACTTGCAGGGGAGCGCCTGAGATTCGAGGAAGGAAGTGGAAGATGGAAACCCCTAATCTTTCCAGCGATCCCGGTATTTATAGGGGGATACGCCCCTCCAATGGCCAACCCACGGATGACACGTGGCGAGGAGCGTACCCAGGGACATGTGTCACGCTGTGACGGACAGGTGCAAAATGATTACTTTTACATCGGAAGTTGAACCGGCCAGCATAACTGTCACCTAGAGCCCCATGAACAACGACAGAGAAGCAACCGTCACATCGAGGAAGGAGGGTAGCGGTTCAAAGCAGTACGAAGAAAACGGTTACTTCCTTATGTCCCGCGCACGCTCGGAACATCAGTAGTGGGGGACTTGTGTTGGGTTAATGGCCACCGAGGGCCCGCCCATCAACCCCTAAGGGCCCCCTATGAACGTCCTATCCTAAGCCCAAGAAGAAGGTCAAGTCTCTAGGCCCAAAGGCTAAGGGACGTATGCAGCCCACTCACAACGGGCAGCCATGCCCGAGGATCAGAGGACGTACGTAGCCCGTAGTCAGGCAATACCAAGGCCCATATCAGAAGACGTACGGGCTCCACTGCCAGTGGATATCCAGGCCCCGAGGATCAGAGGACGTACGTAGCCCATTGCTAGTCGGTATCGGGTCCCGAGGGCCATGAGATGTACGTGATCCATTGACGGCAGGTAACCAGGCCCACGGGTCCTGCGGGGTTTGCGAGGATGGACGCCCCCAACCCACGACAGGGTATCAAGGGCGGCTCGAGAATGGGCCAAGGATGATTCGAGTGCAGAAGGGTGAACGTCCCTTATTCCTATAACAGGAGGTCAGGCTTCCATCAGAAGATTGGACCCACCCCTTAGGGACGAACGTCCCCACCCCCTGGCGGGAAACAAAGATCCTGGCGGGAAACACATTAAATGCAGAAGATTTGGTGGTTGGGATCATGTCGCTCACAGCCAGCCACGTCAATGCTCCCAACTACCCCTGGATAGTATAAATAGCAGCATTTATTTCATTGTGGGGGGTTCGCAATTTAGCATTGAAGCACCCTAGCACCAATATCAGTTCGTAACATATGTATCGTACGCTCGGCCCTTCGGCTTGTAATAGTTTGAGTAAGTAAAGACAGTTGTGGCCCATTTTCCTGCTTGTTTCTTCATCTTACTTGCCCATTACCCATTCGAAACCCTCAGGTTACGTGTTGGGCCAGCGGGTTGAGGGAGTAAACCTCAACAATATCCTTACTTGGTTTTTCTTTGAATTCCTGGTCAAGGTCATCTCTCACCATTTTGGGGGACTTTCACCAACCTACAACCCTTATGCTGTCATTATCTGAGCCATATCAAATGGGCTATCATTTCGGTCATTATGACCGCACGATGAGCCTCTTTTATTGGTGGAGTTTCATTTAAAACCTTTGGTGCGAAGTTTATTCCATTATTTCATTTTTAGCCTTGTAAAATCAGTTTTAACCTTGAAAAATGATATCTTTCTCGTTTTTGGGAAATTTTGATTTTGTTCATGAAGGTTGTTTAACCTTGGGAAAGGTTGTTAAGTCCCGCTCTTATCTTAAGAACGATTATATTTGAGCTTTTAGAATTTAGATGAGTTCGGAATTTCACTTCAGCTTTTGCGAGTACCTGTTTGGCATGACCTTTCCTTTCTTCCTTGACCCTGGTTGGTTAAGAAACCTTGGCGAGTATTGTCACATGTACATGATATTTGTGAATCCAAAACAGAATTTTATTAAAACTTTCTTTTGGAAAGAAATACACACTTACTGGTAGAATTTCAACAAATGTATAGAGTTCCAAACCCTGTCCACCAGCTTCCCATTAAGAGTACATAATTTGTAGGTCCCGAGTTCAACTATTCCTTTGACTTTATAAGGCCCCTCCTAATTCTTGGAAAACTTTCCTCCCTCTAGAGGTCGGCTGGCAGATCACCTCTTGAGGACCAATCCCCGATATCGAATTGTCTCGATATGACCTTAAGCATCATGATACTCTTTCACCTGATGCCTATAATTTTCAGCTATGATGAATGCTCAGTCCTTTTTTTCCTCAATTAGGCAGAGCTTGACTCTTAGTAACTCTCATTATTCTCAGGGATCGTAATTTTCCACCCTCATGCTCGGCACTATAGCCTCGAACGGTGCTCGAGCCTCAAAACCATATATTAGTGTGAATGAAGTTTCTCCGGTGGCTTTCCTTGGTGTAGTTCGATAGGCCCAAAGTATATTGTTCAACACGTCCACCAAAGTAACCCCATAGACTCCAGTTTCTTCTTTATGCCAATTACAATAGTCCTATTTGCATTCTCTACTTGCCAGTTGCATTGAGGATATGCAACAGATGCTTTGCTGACCTCAACTCCCCCACTGCCCACACAAGTCTTTGAAAGGCTCGGAGTCGGACTATTTTCATTGTCCATGATGCGATGAACAAATCCCAGCGTGCAATTCCTTCATCACCTGTTGGGCTTGTTTCGGCCTTAAGCACTTCAATAGCACACCATTATAGATTCGTTTGTAAAGCTTCCCGTCTTGGATTACATAGCTTGGAGCTCGTCTCTTGATCACCATTTCTTTTTCTTCGTCTTCTGGTAGTGCTCCGTCCACTTTATATTTTACCATGTCATTAATCCAACACTCCGGTGAAGACCCGATGGGCAACACCTCTTGGCCTTTTGTTACCTTTATGCTCGGTTGATCTAATTCTTCTATCCTGCGTCAACTTTGACAGGATATCTGCCTCCCCGTTCTGGGCTCACGGAACATATACCAGGTCAGACTGCTCAAAGTTCTTGATGAGCTCCGGGGATGCATCCTTGCACTTCTGCATTCGTTCTTCTTTAGCTTCACATTCTCCCCTAAGCTGCTTGATTACCAACTTGGAGTCGCTTTTAACCCTCTACTTTTGGACTTTGAAATAACTGGTTATTCTGAGTCCGGAAAGCAGAGCCTCATATTTTGCCTCATTGTTTGATAGAGAGAATAAATACATGAGGGCATGGTAGGTTTTGAAACCCTCTGGGTGATGAGGACTACCCCTCCCCCGCAACCTTTGGATCCTGATGACGATCGATCGGTCATGAGGGTCCACCAATCTTCTTCATCACGACGCCTTTCTTCAGCTATGTCCGTGATGTGCATTCTACCACGAAATCTGCCACAGATTGTGTAACATCCTCAAACTCATTATTTTTTTTTTAATTTTTGAAAGTAAAAATATAAAGGTTGTGTGCCAGAAATATTTCTTATTTAATATTTAATGTGACTTAAATACAAAAAATTAAAATTTATTTATAAATTAAATCTATCAACTATAGTAACACTATCCACCAAGCTAAAAAGTGTACGTATAAACTTTAATATGAACATATAAACATGTGTACACATATATTAGTTAGGTTATAAATATATATATGTATTTATAACTAAAAATGGACATGTGTAGATAGATATCTATTCCAAGGACACTAAGCATAAGATGGTGGAACCAAACAAAAACTTAAGGACACTAGGCAACACTCTAATCACTATACGAATAAGAACAAAAGTAACATGCAGTAAAAGACCATGCATGCATGCATGCATAAGAATACAAATGGGTAGGTTTTTTTATTACTAATAAATATGGAGTACGTAAATCAAGGGTAAATATATAGAGAGTAGCAAGTCCAATTGCCGGCAGTAAGAAATACTTCCCTATAATTAGCCGACCCATGTTATGAACAAGAAAAATTAGGGACATGGCTAAGAGGAAAATAAATGAGGAAGGAAATGGAAGAAAAGTAGGGGAAAAGCTAAGGGAGAATAAGTGGAAAATCTTGCATTCTTGAGATCTGTGTTCATTCCTTCTCTTAAATCTATTGTTTAATTATATTATAGTGTTTTGGGTATGTCATTTCATTATCCCCGTATGCTGCTTAATTGAGATATTGATATACTATTTCTTTGAACAAGGCATTATACGTATGATTATTAGTTACGTTATACATAACTAGTATAGTACCCGTGCGATGCACGAAACATAAAGTATTTAATATAATTTTTAATGATGCAATATTAATGTAAGACATTTATTTTAAGAACACTGAAATACATCTATGACGGTTGGTAATAGTTTTTAGTGATTATACTAAATGTATATATAAAATAAAAAAGGGTTCATCACATGAGAAATTACACATTTAGAAAAAATTTCAATACACAACATTTATTATGTGCATGGTAATGCGGCTTTTAGATATCCCTCCAAGACTCCAATCTTATACGTTTTACTTTCAAATGATCCAGGTATTCTGCATAAAATTAATATGATAAAATCCATATTGAAATTCATATTGATTTAGGAAAAAGTGACTTCTTTGTCTCTATTCTAAAATATAAATGATATAATAATTTGGCGGCACACATCATCTAATATACATGCACATGAAATTAGTGAAGAGTATCAAAGTAAAAATGAGTTAAAGTAAATGATACACATCATTTAAAATGGCCTTATAGAAAATCAGAAAAGAATACTTCTTATACCAAATAAATACACACTTAATTGGACTACTAATTATAGATTGTTAAATATTAATTAGTAGCTGGTTTTAGTTTTTTGAAGTATATTTTAAATAAAAACAGGCCACGGTATATTACATGTAACTTAATTTGTAAAGAAAAAAAAATGAAATCAACTTTTGGACGTCACCATTTGTATTTGTTATTGGTTACATCTAAAATTGTTGTACACCAAATAATTCACCAACGGTGCTTAGACATGCATCAAACTTGCTAATTGAAAATATAGGTTTCCTAGATGTGGGTTATGTCGATGGCTCGGTGCATCAACTGAGCCGGATGAGATAATTAGTCATAAGTACAATAATTATTCTCTTTTTGTTAAGATATTAGTTCTGATATTAAATGTAATCGATTGAGATGCGATTATTTTTTGTTAATATTTCAATTTGACATATATATACTGCCATATGTTTTATATTTAGCTTAAATTTTTAAAAATGAAGATTTTGCTTATTTCTATCATCACTACATAGTTTATTCAATTTTCTATTATATTCCAAAAAGAATGTATTTGTATGGCTGTTGGGTGAGTATTTTCACAAATTATGTAACCGGTAACCCTTTCACAAATTAATTTTTTATTTAATATCAAGAAGTTTTGTAAAGCTACACCAAAATAAGTAGAAAAATTAAGGATCATGTTGTCCTTCGAAAATCCAAAATAATTCAAACCACCGAACTTATGATTCCCGTTTAAAGCAGTACCTTAGAATCTCGATAAATCCGATCCATGGAGTTCGTAAAACTCTTTTTCGTGGTATGCCGGCAATCTGTCTTTCAAGTGATAAGTTCATGGAGTTTGTTGAACAACGTGGTCTCTAGTGGTAGCATCAATTCTACAATATAAAACTTCTATTAGCAACTTGATAATAAGAAAATTAGCTATTAGCATTAGTATTTTAAAATCAAGATATTGTGTTTGGGAATAAGTTATAGATAGATATCTGATTACACGCACATATATATTAGTGCTTTCATCATTCTGACACAACTGTAAATTGGGATGCTAAAGTTAGTGTTATATACTTATATACCAAGCGGTTATCTAATAGAGAGTGGCCTATTCCAAGCGATGTATTCCAAACAGTTATACAACGTGGAAATGTGACTTATACATGAAATGGACGTGACAACGTAGATTTAGGCGGAAACAGTTAGTATACAAACGATCCCATTTTTATATATATAAAGATTAGAAGTAAACCCAAACTCTTTTGCAAGGAACGCTTGATTTAACTTTTGTAAAAAAAACCATTTTGTATTTTATGTTCTTATTTGTCAAACCTGATTTGAGTACTTATAATAGCAAAAATAAGTCAATATACTAAATTGGAATTAAAATGGGATAGAATTCAAAAGTGACATAATGTCAAAAATAATTAACGAGATTACTTTTAGAACGATGAATATTCATAATCATTACATGAAAATAATAAATCTCAAAATTATTGTGATTATAATAGAATAGAATTCAAAAGTATTACTAGTATAATATAAAAGTAATTAAATGGAAGTACGTACATTAGCTTGTAATCGGCATTGTGTGTGTGAATATATCTTCTATTGAACTTCAATATTTAAATAAACATAAAGGTAAAGCTCAAAGGTTTTAGAATTTAAAGAAAAGGGCACTTTCGAAAGTTGATAGAAATATATATATATATATATATATATATATATATATATATATATATATATATATATATATATATATATATATATATATATATATATATATATATATATATATATTAGAAAGTATAATTATACGAAGTATAACAAAGAAATTCTGTAATTATTATACTTATGTACGGGGTAATAAGATATGTCCGAAACTAGTAAATAAGGTATATGAGCAAGTATAAGAGTTTATTTCCATAAACAATACCGATCTGGAATCTTATGTTATAACCTATTTATTAAGGTTATTTAATGATATTCTTTCATTGGAAAATAATAGTTAAATTATAACAAAACTAACAATGATACAAGCTTAATTTGAATAACTATAAATAAATGGAATTTGAAACGTTCGTGATTTGGATATGTTAGCATGCCAATAGGGATAGTTAATACGACCATAGAATTTAATCGATTAATTACGTATCCGCAGCCACGGAGTGCACAATACCCGAATTATGACGTTAAATTATGGGTCCGCAGCCACGGAGTGGACAATACCCAAATCTTAAACTTTGATCGTTTAGGGTTCACAGCCACGGAGTGGACAGTACCCAAACGAAAGGTCTGACCCACACAACGGTCAGTGTCGATACTACTCAGATGGTCTGCAGCCACGGAGTAGACCATCAGGGAGTTCAGCAGGACACAAATTAGGAACTGTCATTTAAACATATGCAAAGAGTAGACATGGTGTACAACTAAGCTAAATCGTCGCGGCACATTGGTGCTTTGACGTATACTTGAAGTACACTAAGAACTAATGCTAATTTTTGCAATAGCCTCCAAGTTCAATTAATTAAGTTCAGTTTTCCTTGTCATGTTGGCACGAGAACGCCATTTCTTTCGAAAGATCCCCAAGTCTCGTCTTATTGTGCAAAACATTTACGCTTTTTGACCGGGTCTCCCATTCTCTTTTCGCAAGGTAAGAGGTCTAGTTCTATTAATTTTTTCGATTTTCAGATTTTCACTAGACATTACCCCATTCTAATCTCGGCCTCTCCAAGGAAAATTAGCAATTAAAGTTCAATTAATCAAGGTGAATCCATGCCTACAATGCAATCCTCGAAAATATCAAATTCCTAAAAAGTGACTGCTCTTACCCATTTGGGGCATAGGAACAGTGCCAAAAGTGGCTCCTACACAAATTCCCTAAACTTGGAAAACTAATCCCCTAATTCCCTAAACATCAAGACTTTGTCAGACTTATTCACGGGTAAGGAAACAAAGGCCATATGGCTATGGAGCTCAATTGATTGGGTACAGAACAAAATGGTTAGACTCAAAGTGGCTTCTCCTAAATGACTTTTTCAGGTCAGGTGGATGATTTGTGGAACGATTCAATGGGTGACTAATGTCTTCATCCTTTCAACAACTAGATTACCATGAAAGCAATTTAAGCCTAAACACTTCAAGGATGTCCTAAAAGCATAGTCAAAACGCTAGCCAGCTCACAAAGACACAGTTTAAAGAAAAAATTTCAAAATATTTGTCATGACTTTCCTATGAATATACAACTAACACCTGCACATGCTAACTCTATTAATCCCATGTGACAACTACTGCCCGAATGCCCAATTCATTCTCCCACACTTAAACTTTGGTATCGCCCTCGATGACCAAAAATGCACTATGCACAAGGGGTAAAGAGGAAAGGGTCACACGTGCTCAAATCTCAACTCAAGTCAACTTTACAAATAGGCAATTATAAGAGTCGCAGAAACTTCCCTAAGGCGCTGGTCGGTGCAGAACTAAACTGAGTCAAGTGATCCTCGACACATCATCCCCAAAACAAGACCCTGAGCTGCAAAAACAAAACACACAAACACAAAAACAAAAAATAGAAAACACCCCGGATTTTTTTCTTTTTTTTTTGGGGGGGGGGGGGGTTTCTTGAAAGTAAACAAACAAAGACAAAAGTGCAGAATTAAACTTGGGTTTCCTCCCAAGAAGCGCTATTTTTAACGTCGTTTGCCCGACGTAAGTACCTCATATGCTCTCAAATAGCAAAGACTGCAGTGGTGCACTAATAATCAACGTCTCCAGCTCCCTCTCAACAAATGCCATTAAGTGTCGTAGATCTTTAAATTCTTGGAACCACGTAGGAATCATGTGGTCTTC